TGGCACACCTGTGGTCCAAGTGGAACACAATTATGGTGTTGGTACTGCTAAATCTATTTTTTTGTTCGAATAAAAAAAGTGTGAGAATAAAATTTCGAAGCAGAGGTCTCAGTTCTTGAGATTTTTGTAGTGATACCATAGGAATAGGTGAAATGCAAAACTCCAGTCTTCCCGGAAGTTGATGGGTCAACCTTTGTGATTTGGGCAAGAATTCGTGAAGAATGGAAAAATAGCTCCCTCCGGTAAAATCCAATAAATAAAATTGGGATTTCAAGCTCTTATTATGTGTATTATACAGAGTCAATTGCGCCGGTGTTGCTTCGAATATGGAACAAAACGAGCAAAAAATGTTCAGGCTAGATGCTGCTGGTCATAACATTTTCTCTGTGCAACGGACTTTGACCACGCCTTCTTGCTGCAGAACTTCAGCAAATATATGACAATCAAAGAAAAAGGAATCATTCATTTGTATAGCAATGGCGTTTAGCGCAAAATAAATGGCATAACTATTATTAAACAGAGCATAACCTATAAATAAATACTTTTGACTACCTCATCAGGCAGCTCCATCACTATCCGAAGTCGGCATCACCCCTTCCTTACTTGAACGTTTTTTTCTCTTCACCATCTGAAAGTGCGTGAGAGAACAGAGGACTGTGACGAAGTAGCTCCAGACGTTTGCTTCTGGATTCTGTCGTGTTCTGTGATGATTCAATGGAAAAAAATGCACCAGAATAGAACCACTGGAGCATGTTTCGTAATCGATTGTGATTATGTTTTTTGTATTTTCTCTCAGCCAGCTGTTTAACATTAGATGGAATGCAATACTGGAACCTGTGCAGTAAGCTGGGCATAAAAGGCTTAGGGAAGGAAGCAGGATACATAGGGTCTCATTTCAACAAAGGCCTTCCTTGCTATCTTCATGAAACATTTCCTTTCGACAATTTTAAGAACCTTTCAGTTCCACTAGGGACCTTGAACAAACCAAAGGCTCACTGGAAAGAAGGAGGATACGTGAGGTTTTATTTTAACGACGCTTCCTCTGAATTACTTTTTATCCTACACGGGAAGGATGCCAATTCGAAGTGGACACTTGCTATGAGAACTTAGTAAACTTCCAGCCGAGAGCTTCAAAAAATCAATATTCGATTGACTTGAGATCACCGTTGTGAAGGCAAATCGATAAGCCCCTAAGGAAAAATTGTATCTCCGAGGATTCGAATAATACCAGTCTTTGTTCCATATGTTATTCGATCCACCGAAACAATAGAGTGTCACTCTTGTATCCATTGTTTGACAACGATATTTTCTAAAAAGCTCTCGATCGATCACTTTGTCTTTAGGACCAGCTGGATGCATGAAGTTTGCGAACCGTACTTACAGTGTGTGTTCAGGATGATGCTCGTTTCGATCTTTCTCTCTGGTGCCAACGTCAGTGACAAAGGCAAGTGGCTGCTGAGATAGCGAAACGTCCACTTTTCTTAATTCTATCGGAGGATAGCTCTGAAGGTGTGAACAACAACAAGGGAGTGTCTATCGTAGCACTCATGATGGGATTAGGAAGAGATGGGCTTTTGTAATGAATCATACTCATTTGGATGACGATAATAGAACAGTCAATCAATGATTTTTCCTATCGGTACAGCTTGGCGTCGTGAAACCCAGTCGTTACACTTGAAAAGTGGTTGCTCTTCAGAAATATTAGGATTGCTTCGAAAGGTCACAGAAAAGTTTCTGCCAAGAACTGACAGGATGTGGAATTTCGATCTCTGAAAAAATTCGTAGGGAATCTCTCTTGACTTTCAAATAGTCAATACGATCTTGCAGGTTTTGCGAAACTGGCTCAGAGCAATACAGGTAGCCAAACATCTTCAGATAGAATGGACAGTACAAAAACCCCGGTGTCATGTTTTAGGATAGGGCCTACCAAAGGGTGTGGTGCAGTAGGATTGAAATTGTCGCGTCGCGGCGAGAGGGACGCCGCACGAGAAGGAATGTAGTAGAATGCAGCAGCAAGTAAGAAATACAGGAACGAAAGAACTAACATCAGAATCGTGCCAAAAATAATATTCGCCAATGAGCTGCATGAAGAAATTAAATAACGAGGCGAATTGTCCGTAACTGCCGCGTGTTGCGAATCGATTACACAAAACCGATCATACTGCCCGTCTCCCCCTACCATTCCACACCACTCGTTCATTGTCCCACGCTGATCAACCTATAGCTGTTAGAACTCAGCTTACAAGTTCAGTTTTTCATTTTTTAGATATTCATGAAAACAAAGGAAACAGAAGAGGATCATGAATGAGTTTGCACCACTTTCGAACCTGTTTTCTGTGATTTCTGGCCCATTCATAAGAAAAAGAGGACCCATGAAAGAATCAATGAAGTTTATTTCACAATGAAGTATGCCAGTATTCTGTGTGTTTTCTCAGCTGTACAACAGCAGACACAGAGCTCGAACTAAGCGCATAAAAGGGCCACGGAAAGAAACAAGATGTATGAAGTCTCGTTTCACAAAAGCTATTCTCTTTCTTTCTTCTCCCTTTTGTTCTTTTGATAACTCCTGTAACGCTTCGCTTCCGCTCAAAACCGCTAAGAAGTAACAAAGCACTCTTTGAACTCTCCCATTATCTCCTCCAACTCACTGCCCCAAGCTTGATCTATTAGGTGTGTGCATTAATTTCCGCCGTTTTTTGCGTGCAAAAACATAGTTATTACAAAATTAAAGCCAAATGTACATTGATCAATGTATTACCCATCGCTAGCTACAACTTCCTGCCACCTTTCTGGTATCTTGTTGACTCCACGTCTAAAAAAGTCTTATTTTGAGGCAACCCAGTTATCCACCCATTTTCGCATTTCTTCAGCATTTAGGAAGCGTGTATCAGCCAAACTGACTTGGACGGACCGGAATAGGTGGTATTCAGAAAGAGCAAGACCCGGAGTGTATGCGGGCTGAACAAGCTGATTCCATCCAACAACTTCAATTTTTTTCTATAAGGACACTCTTCGCAACATGGGGTCTGGCATGGTGGAACACCACCTAATGATATTTTCTTGCGAATATAGCCGCTTTTAGTTGAGAGGATCCTACAAACTGCTAAGCTGGTGTCCGTAGTGGTCAGCAGTAACAGTTTCGTTCGGGCTCAGCAGCTCATAGTACACACAACACCCTTTTCATCCCACCACCAAATGCACACACAGCATTACTTTTTGGCATGAACATTCCGTTTTCGTTGCGAACTCTCGAGTGAAGAGAAACTATCTCAGCAGGTTCGTTCAGATGAAGCTTGTCCTCCATAAAAGCATCCGGTTGACTTCAATGCCAGNTTTTCTTGAAATCAAACAGCAGGAGAGGGGCACCCCGGGAAGACGGGTTCATCACGTCCCATGACCAATCATTCTGAAAGCAACGGGATTTTGGGGAAAAAACTGATCTGGATGCCCTTAAGTAGGTAGCCAATACCCTATCTTACAGAATATGACAGGTTTCACCGGTAAACCTCTAACATGGTTCGCGCCCATCGAATTCGGAGGCGGAAGTTAATGCACACACCTAATAGCAAAATATGAACTCGGACTCGCAAGGCATAATGATGGGAACGAATGCGGCTTTCCCATACCATTCAACCATCCCATAGAAACTCGTTAGTGAGGTCTGTGGAATTGTTCGCTCCACGTGAAAGCCATTCAATAACAAGTACAGATGGAAAAAGCATACAAAGAACAAAGAAGGAACTTTAGGCGTTAATCAAACACGTTTTTAGGATGAACCTCGCATTCAGAATCGCTGAGGCGTTCGTGGTTATTTGATCGGGTACGTGACCTATAGCATGAACGGCAATGGTCATCCATAGCCCAATTTAGTGATTTAATTTTTTCAGTAGAATGGTATCAGTTAGCAGACCCCAGAGAAATACAACGCTGGGTTTTCCTAGTTGGCCAGTATTCGATCAGGTGACGTGACTCTCGCACGACCTCCACTCGGCTTTAGAGCATGTGTTGAGAGGAAAGTACGCCCGGAACCTCTTGCAGTCGATCCTACCGCGAAGGGCGGAAATTGTCAGAATCGCGGGTGTAGTCATAAGCTTGTCATCTCGCTATATCGACTCCAATTAGTCGTTCGTATGTAGTCGTCAGGCCTGACTTGTGAATTGTCGCATGCTTTTCTCTCTTCGTCCTGTGGGCTTTTCCGTTACCGTCAATCATCGCATCTCATTTAATCTCATCTGCTCACGTCTCGTCATCTCGTCTTAACTCCAGGTTAGTCACGGTGTAGCTGTTTTTCTTATGCGTATCTTCAGTGTAATGGTATTGCATCATAAGGTTCCATTTACTATTTGCCCATTAATTGAAGTTTGTCATGGTATACTCGTATATCATAAAGGTAGCGCCCTATTATCGTTGTGTGAAGAGAGATTATTCCGAGAGTACTGTGAACACTTTGTAGTCTGCGCTTTTGCTTTGGCGCCAGAGGATCAGGCCATTTCTAGCTCGCAGCAGACTGTCTAGCATTCCTCGGCACTACGCGTCCCCTTAGAGGTGTGTGGACACCCAAATTCCCACGTTCTGGCGTGGCCGGGGTGCGGGAATGCCGATGCAAATAGCAGAAGGCACCTCGTCACGATATCCGTGATTCGAATCGTGAACCATTGATTTGCGACTGTGTGCCACTTGCCCACACCTTTCCCGCCCAAGAATAAAAAAGACGAAAGCATACATTTCCAGATATTATTAAGAAGTCCTGCGAAATTCGGTTTTTTGTGTAGTATCTTCGAAAAAGTAAGATAGTGATGTTAAGTCAGTTTCTTCAATCAGTCATTGTAAGGACCAAAGAAATGCCGCTGGCCACGAATGCAAGGTATTTGCCTATCCATGAAGTGGTAAATCTCAGCTCCATGGGCTTAGTTGCCCAACTTTTGACTTGAATCTATGTGACTTTCTAACTGCAGCACTCCGCAATCCTTTAATTCCCTCTTATAATGTCAGCGTTTAGAATGTTTGTATGGATACTCCTTTCCCTTTTCGCAATTACCGTCAGTGAAGAGATGTCGGAATCATCAACGTTTGGAAATAACGACATATCGACCGGTACGGAACAACCCGAGATAGTCAATCAGTTTTCCTCTGAAAAGAATAATTTGAAAAGACGAAGTCCATCCGAGATGCATTCCGGATGTGTGGACAAACCGATGTAAGATTTCATACCTCATGTGTCAATAATTTCTTCAATGGATGTAATAGAAGCTTTCAGATGCGAAATTTTCGTTCGGCAAGGATTCTGCAGCATGAAATTGCCGGAGCGAGTCAAGAGGCATAACTGCCCCGTATCGTGCAATCTCTGCTGAGCGTCGAAATCAAAAACAACAAAAGTTCCGTCTAGTGTTATTTCGAAAATCTTCATGGCAAGCAAGGAAGCGTTTATTGTATTATTCGAGTTGTAATAATATTTCTCTAATTTTGCTTCTTTGAGTCTTGGTAATGGTTGAGACTAAAAAATCTTTCCCATTGTTTTGTTGTGAAGCTGAAGTAGGATGTTAGGTTCTGCGTAACATCATAGCTTTGTCGGAAAACCGTGCTGGCTACCTACATTTACAGGTGTACTACAGAGGGTGAGTCGAAACTATGAAAGAAGCTCGGGTGCATCATTCCGGAAAACTAGGATCACAACTTGGCTTTCTTGATCTCATTGGGCATGCCTAGAAGAGTAACATGCCGAAAATTATCGACATTCATGCACCTGCATTCTGCTACGACAATGACGCGCCTAAATTATCCATAAATCATTCGAAAGGAGACGTACACAGAGAAGAAACATCTAAAAGCTACCGTTAACGACTCAGAGGCCAAGTTTGGATGTTAAAAAGCTAGTGGAGCTCAGCTATTCATTCCGGCTATTACATACAAATTTCTATTTTACTCGCTCCCACATTCATACTTGTGCAACTGCCGAAATTTAGAGAAATTTTTATTACCTGCTGCCTGTCACATACTGTCCCCTTGATCAAGCGCGTGCCAGTAACGTCTTCTTTCATCCCTTAGGGAGCCAAAGTTTTTCAGTGGATCGTCCTCGCTCGAGGGACACGAGCCGTAGCATTGCTTCCGTTCAGAGCCTTCGTGAATAAGTCTGATCAAGCGTTTGCGGCAATCCTGGTGTTCGCTTAGCGTCCCGAGGAATCCAGTCAGTAACCGCCTTGACTCAACGGTACCACATTATCGCATAATGTGTTCGGCCCACCAAATTTTTGATTTCTCGGCATCTCTGATCTTCGTTCGTTGACGAAACTCGGAACTCCGGATCCTCCTATGCTTCAGTGTGTATTGAAAAATTCTAAGTATTGTCCTTCCCGTAGCGTGTTGAATGATGCTGACTGCACCCTTTCTGCTTTCGTAGAGACCATATCTTGAATGGTATGTCGGGGGAAGTTTTTCTATGTATAAGCACTGACTACCATGAATTTTGATGCTTACCGGTGGTCCTTAGCGGTTCCTTTTCGTAATATGATCCAAAAGTTTTGTCTGCAGATCCTTCCTGAGCCATAAAGACGAACGAATACCATCGTATTCTCTCAGATAGTGAATGAGCATTAGATCAGATAAGATCTTGCTCAGAATCTTTTACACATTCGGAGTATCAGGAATGACGAATTTCGGCCTTCATGGTTTGGCCAGTCTATGGGGTTCAAGAATTCACATGAGGTAGAGAAGTGTGATGGAATAATACTGCGTGATCCCGTTTCCTTTAGGCCTTTTATACGGATCCTGAGTTAGCCGTTCCGCTACATTATTTGGAGCGGAACAGCTGAGAAAACAGAAAAAGAGAGCGTCCTTGCCTATGAATTTATTAGTCATCGCCTAATGGTACTGCGATGCTAGAATTATTTCATCTCTCGAAGTTCACAGGGGCGATAAAGAAGGGTTCGGAAAATAGAAGAGTGACATTTTGATTTGAGCAATCGAGGTTGAAAGGAAGGTGTATATTAACCCAAACCAAGTGCCATCAGATAAAGTGTTATAGTGAGCTTCAGGTAATCGGGTCTTGTGAATTCCAGATTTTGAGCGTTTGTGGAGCTGTTACACTGCTTTGTATTTAGACGGCCACTATTGGTACAGAGTTTAAGAATTTCCGCTAGTACTATAAAAATGCTCGGAAGTCATCGGTTTACCTAATTCGATGCTCTGGAATGATAGAGCAGGCTTGGTTCTTTAGTAAACTTACTATTGGGCTGTCCGAAAAGTTCATGCCGATTTTGAAACCCCTTGGTTTATCAAGTAAGTTGAAAAAGACCCTCGGCTAACCTCATAGAGTCATATATTTTCTGAAAGTGTATGTCCTAGTCTATATCCTTCTTAGGTTATGTTTATATTTTTTGACGTTCCTTTGTATAGGGCTTGAGTGAAAATGGAAGGCAATCGCGTGCCATCTAATGCTTTTTTTCTATCGCAAAGAGCAGAATGCAGCTCAAAGATCTGTGGCGTTTACGGAGAGGATGCTCTGCGTGAACGTACAGTTCGTAAGTGGTTTGCGATATTCAAGCGGGGTGAATTCAACCTCGAAGATCGGCAATGCGCAGGGAGGGCATCATCACTTGACGAGGATCGAATCAAAATGTTAATCGAAAAGGATCGGCACAATATGAATATAATATATTATACGGAATGGAGAACATATTATTAAATAACTGTATTTGTTCTTTTAGAAATTCTTACACAAAGTCAACCCAGAAATCGGCATGAACTTTTTGGACAACCCAATATATCTGTACCTTGCAGTATAGTAGCTGTAGGTTTTGCCGGCGATGTGATTATCGCTTAATGTTTACCTGAGCGTGTTTCAAACGTTTCCATTGCTTGGGAGTGCACACAATGGGTCCTTTCAGAATTCAGCGATGCTGCCAACTGACTGAGTGACCGACGGCGCTTCTGGCCTCGTGTTGAGAACACAGGACGGATTGCGTTTGATACCACTACCGATCGCGCGACCTTCAACACAGTCTGTACTGTCTCCACGTTCTGGCTTCTATAAACCTCGGCATTGTTGTGAATTGATGTTGATCTTGCTTGGAACTCCCAGTCTGTCTGTACTGTGCTGTCAACACTTGGCCACCGGCGCCATGTGTCAGTCGGTCGACACGTCGTTGAACGTTAACAGCACCCACAGCACTAACAGGTGTACCTTACCTTCCCCCTTCCCCCCCTCCCCCTCCCCCCACTCCTCTCCGTATAGTAGAGGGTGCGCGTTATGAACATCATCGAACAGTAAATTGCTGAATATGTTTACTTCAGAGAAAACATTCGTCAAAGAAACTCAGTTCTGACACAACATGTCACTCATTTTTTTGATATTGCTTCTTCGAATAGCTGTCATAACTTTTGCTACTGCATTCTGTAATATTGGAGTTGTTTTACAACCGATCATGACAGTGTTTCTGCTGCGTTTTTTTTTCGGCAGCTGTTCAACATTAGATGTATGTACTATTGGAACCACTGCAACAAGCCGCGCATAAAAGACCTATGGAAAGGAGCAGGACGCATGTAACCTGACTTCAATGAACGCTCCTCCTTTCTTACTGGAACCACTCATTCAACAACTGTAGTAACCTTCCAGTTACACTGTGAATTTCTGAGCAATCCACTAGCTTATTTCACTTTGTTCTTGATAAATTCTTGCCGGAGGTTCCATGAAAGTGATATCGGGTTACCACAAATCCACAGGGAACTGGTCGAAAGCGAATCGGTAGGGCATGTTCGGACGGTACGACGAAGTTTTATTTACTTCGTCATCTAGGTACTACTAGAAATTTGCAGGCAAAAAAATGGGTGTGGGTGGATTGTGTTCTCACTGGTATGGCACATCAAAGTTGCAAAAATTATTTATTTGTATAATGGGCGAAGGATCCGTGATAAATAATGTTGCCCTGCATCGATTGATCAGATACATATTTTTGAAGAAGCTGAAACAGGGCTTAGAAGGATAGCTATTCCTACCACTCTTCGGTTGCAAGGGCCAAGAAATTGCAGCTACCATGAGAAATCAAAGTTCACTATATGGGACATCCATGAACTGGTTTATTGGTTACTGAACACCCTCTCTACTGCTTTACCTCGAATTACGCTTCATCATATTAAATTCGTCCTTCTCATAACACTAATGTTCAGAATGATTCTCATTTTCGTATTTCTTCTTGCTATTACGGTCACTGAGAGCATGGCTTCTGTCGAAGGAAATTCCTCGGACTTTCACAGTCCATCAGTAGTTCATCCTGGATGCAAGGATAAGGACAAGTAAGATATTCTTACTGTAGTGAACAATTCCGACCTAAAAATATGTGAGAGTTTTTTTTCAGCTGCAAATCTCTTGTACGGAATGGGTTTTGCACGATGCCAAATATCTCAAAACGGGTCAAGATGCATAACTGCCCAGTGTCGTGCAATCTCTGCTGAACATTTTAAGCAATAAAGGATCAGAAAGATGTTCTTATAAAATCTTTTGATTGATGAAGAAGCGTTCATCATGTTGTTTTTAGGGGAAGATGTTGTTGTTGTTGATGATGATGCTGCTGTTGATCCATACAAGGTACCTGTCTTCTTCCAAACTCCCCTCCTAGGACCTGGGGTGACTAGGAATAAAACAGGCACCCTGTATCAAGGGTAAAAGGGGAAACAGATAAACATCAGAGTACAAAAATTGCAAAATATGTGTATATGAATCTGGAAATGCCTAAATTAAAATTGCTGCGTGTGGAGAAGTAAAAGGCAGATGTTCTTTGAAATCCTCGGCTTTGGCCGGTTTTGTCACTGGGAAGTATTCCCAAGGTTCCAAAAAGGCAGATAATAGAAATCTTTCTAGAAATTCATAGCTCGGAGGGAGTGTATTGTCTGTGAGGATTGAGCCGTGACTGATACGTGATATAGGATATCGATACTGCACTTTCCTTTGTTATCAAATGGTTATCAATTTGCTGCACAAATGGGTAAGGTCCATTTTCAGTTCTTACGTACAATGTGATGCAGCTCACAACCAAAAGCCTGTTGGTTGAAGATGAAGAAGGAGCAGGTCAGTTCTCATGTTGTTCGAGCTGCCGTCAACAGAAGAGTTGGAAGCTCCATTACAACTTTAGCTTCAGATCAGGTACGAGTTTTGATGTTTCGTGAGAATGAGGAGACGCCTCCTCCTCACCTCCTCCCTCCGTCGTATCCACGTCGTAGGAATCACATTGTCGTTCGGCTTATAGGCCACCCCCACGGCTCAAACATCCAAAATGAAGTCACATGATTCTAAGTGGCATTGAACAACGAAGGAAGCTGATAAATGCAATCCTGATTACCCTTTGAAAACAGCAAACACGACCAGGGAGCTCAGTAGAAGCACCTTCATTCGAGAGGATGCACGCCCCGATGTAGTGAAGAATCGTCCAATTGAAGCTTGGGAAGTAAAGGCGTTGACAGCAAGAATATGACGAGGCTAAGCAAAGGGGTTCCTGAGTCATTGTCGTCGGACAAGAAAAGATCGAAATGAAAGAAGTGATTGGGAATCAGATTGATTATCATCTGAGTCCTGAGATTTCGATGAGCATTAGCAAGAAGGATCCTCGGCTGATTCCCTCTCAACTTTTCCTGATGACTCAGTGCTCACACGTGTTCAACCTTTCCATCATAAAGGCTTGGGCTCCAAATGAGACATGATGGTTGCTATCACTTATATCGGTGCAAGTTGACTAACTTCACGTGACCGAGTTCGAGAACAGGTGTTATCAATATTATCATCTTCAACTTGGATCATTACAGACCAACCGGCACCAAGGCGGTTGGTCAACCACCTTTTTGTAACGATCCGAGTTGAAGATGATAATACTGATAACATCTGTTCTCTATCTCGGTCACTTGAGGTTAGCCTCTATTTTTCTTATGGTATCCCACTGCAGAATCATTCTGGTGACCATTGCAGTTCCTCTGCCTTCTTCGGAAGAGCTGGAAGGTATCCACTCCTGACTGAGAGCTTCTACTCTTTGGAGATCAGTGGGACAGCCGCGCTGATCCAACAGCTGTCCGACTAGTAGATCCATCTTGCCTTCATTGACTATATGAACACCTACCGTTCACTTTAATAGCGCCCGGACCACAGAATCACTGCAAGGTTTCCCATTTTACTGCACCGAAGTTTCCAGATACACTCAGATCTAAGCCAAGTTCCAGAGGCTAGAATCAGAGGAGATTCTAGGTTGGCTTCAGACGTGTTTGCATGTTTTCTCCACCTATCTGTTCGTGCCCACTGACACTTCCTCGCTCTTATCTGTTTGCATATCTCAACTCAGGATATGGTCAACCGGTTATCCACCTTTGTATTTTGACGCTCTGCTCATTTCGAGCACATATGGACCCAAGCGTATCTCTATGGGGCTACGAACGTATCGCAAAAACCTCTAAAAATGGTCGATCGAGTTTTTCGACTACACCCCAATCTCGCTTCTCTTATGAAGAAGCAAAAGGTGGTGTAGCCCTTTATCCCTCTATCCTACGCTCTTCCTTCTTTCCCTTCCCTTTCCTACCTACCCCATCTTGAGAATGGTAATGGCACCAATTAGCCAAGTTCTGCATACTACAATACGTATGCTACTAGGTGTCAATACAACCGCTAATGTGAGGTCGTCCTCGCTAGAAATAGCCCATCAAGGAAGTTCTGCATATTGTCCTCGGTGGTGGCAGTTGATGTAGAGCAACTGGCACTTTCCACTGGGGAAGATCTGCTTAACACCCTCTTCTCGTGGAAGTATGTACTGATGACACTGAACAGTTTCCTGTCGTTCTCGATGACACTTTTCATATGCTCTGTTTCGTCCCGTAAGTCCTCACACGATCTGTTACCTTGGCAGATTCAGTTTTGTTGTACTGCACAGAATCTCTGGCAGTGGACGCCCTTCATTTCTACGCTAAGCCTCGTAGAAAATCACGTTGAGCTTAAAATGATTTGCTGATTAACTAATCTTTTTATGCTGGCCACTGGACCTATAGCGGTCTGTCTTCTCCGCCCCTTCCAAATTGAAGAAGAACCTCCTTCCAAGCAATCTCTCGAACGCTCGCTCATTTGCGACCAGGAGCAGCTGTCAATCGAAATATTTTCCAGACTGGAACTATACGTCCACCGTATGTACAGCATCATTCATAGCTAACTATACTCATATGCAAAGGAATTATGGGAAACTCAAGAAGTTCTACTATGGGGCAGAAAATATTATGCGATTCGTCATCAGCACAGTGGACGACCAAACTATCGAAGTGAGTAGCTTATCCAAATTCGTAAAGATTCCACTTACTTGCTGATGCTACCCTGTCTACAAGGGCGAAGGTGGTGTAGTGTCAAATGACACCTTATCTCACAAGCATGGTCACGGGCTCGCATCCCAGATCAATATCTGCCTGGGCCAACAGAGCCTTGTAATTGGTACTAGCTTTGCCTGGGAGGATAGAGGTCCTGACTTACACATCGGCTGCCCACTCCAATTCATTGCATAGGTCGCCTAAAATCGCCACTTTGATTCTAAATGGAATTTGAATGGAGCGCATCCTTCAAGCGGGAGTGATTAACACCCGAAGACTTTATCCATTTATCCCTCACAGTGATTACTGGAATGTCATACGGTTCGGTTGTAGTTCAGTACACTTCATTCAACAAAATGAACCCCGAGGCACTAATGGGACGCCGATACACGTTGTCGCGCCTTTAGGACGACCTCATAGGTCGGCTGGCGTGGCGCGCACATCCGCCTCGCCGGGAAGGTACGGTACGCTGCAGAGAGCGAGGGTCTATCACGTGGCTATGCTAAGCCACGGATTCTGGTTGCTCTTTCCATCACGTGACGATTACATCATCCAGTCTCGCCAACGTCGTCGTCGCTGCAGCCAGCCTGATCGTCCCTGTCTACTGGTACGCACTCAACGTCGACGCTATCGACACGGCTCCAGAGCTCCCCGCAGCACCATCGCATTTTCATCCACTATTGGTGCTATTGCTGCTAAGTCTACCTCACGCAAGAAACGCAAAGAGGAGTGGTTCGCAGCCCTGGAAGAAGAGAGGTGCAGCAGTATCAGAAGGAGGCTGGTAGGATTTGGATGGCCCAGATTGGGGAATCGTACCCCGTTCGTAAGTTAAGTTTGTTTTTTATGTGTATATGTATTTTCTATAATTCTTTTATGGTCTCCAACCTCTCTCTTGTTTTAACCTCGGCATTGTCGTCAACGCTGTTAAAATTCTTTTGCCGTTCGAAGTTTTCAAGTGGAACAGTTTATTAACTTAACGGCCTAACGTTTTGATGTAATCGTCTTCTTCAGGGGCCCAGCTCCCCATCAAAGCGGAAGGAATCTGCTGTCGCCACGGGCGACTGTTAGTAGTGAGATGTCAGTAGAAAGTCCGTTCGAGGTTTATAAGTGTTCCACCTATAAACCTCGAACGGCAGAAGAATTTCAACAACGTAAACGTCTTTTCATGGTATTCCGCGTATCTTAGCCGATTACATTTATTCGCATTTAATTCAGCATTTACTTTCTTCATACATAGATACTCCCAAAACGGTACTATCCATTATATGTGCTTAGTATGGGAAGTGTGGTATCATCCATATATCGCACGCATCATGAGGCGCTGGGATGTCTCTTCGTAGGCCCTGGAAGAACGACGCGCCGAGCGCCTTGAGGGAACTCGACGCGCGGTATGCGACTCCCTCGTGTACTGCGGAGCCAGTACCAACCCGACGTACCTATCGTAGACACCGGGGCTGCAAGCCCTACCATGTCTGCGTGGCAAAGGGTGTCAAGCTTGCGAGGGCGCGTAAGATCCAGGTCAAGTCCCGACCGCCAGCTCGAGCGATCTACCGATGCAAAGGGGGCTCGGCAGGGCGGCCCTGATGGCGCGACACATGTGCTCATTTGGCTAGTTTCAATTCACGAGAGAAGTGAAATAGGGTAGGATGGTTTACAACTTTAAAAAAAAGGGGGAGGGGTAGTGGTTCTAGTAGAAGCGAAAACGTAGCACTCCTTTCATCTTTTATTACATCAGATGGATGAGTAAAAGCCGAAAATACTGTGATGGAGAAGGGGTGGGGATAACCATACACCTTTGGACTTATTAGTTTTAGAGGACGGATTTGTAGTAGATAGCGGTTTCTCGTCACCATTCTCGACCCTGAAATGATATTCATGTTCGGATCACCTTGACTCAGGATATTAATCATTTGAAATTTTCAGCGAGTGGCCGCAGCGTTGAGAAATCCAAAGGAAGCATCGGATCTCATTATCGCCGACGTGTTTCGAAATGTTAGTCTTTCACAAAATATTTTGAGTTAATAATCTACGGTGAACAATTTTCTATAAGTTTAAGGGCGCAACTCACGATGATATGGCTTGCGAGATATCCTGCTAGGATAAATCTGTTGCCCCCTCCGTACCTATAAAATTATTGGTGAGGGGGTTACCCTCAGTCTTCTCCCGTAAAAGACGGCTTTGCTAGTTTGAGATACTCAACACCATAAACAATACCACAACAACCGTTCGACATCATAATAATAACAGTGAATATAATACGGGCGACGTTGCGCAGAAGTCGGAGGCGGGAATGGTGTGGAGAGTAGCAAGACCAGGCAGCCGTCATGCGCGCCGTCGTATCCTCGAATACCGCTTCTTGATGCCATTCTCCTCTCGCTTGTCGCTGCCTGTAGTCAGCAGAATAATCGGAGCCGAGAAAGTTGCAATGAATGAGTCAAAATCAATCTGTCTCTTGCTACTTGATTGATTTATTTATATCCTTTACAATATGGATAGCCTTTCACTCTCGCTATGGGTTATGACAAGTTGCTCGAATCACCTACATGGGTGCCCTTGTGAATGTGCAGCTTCCACAATGCCACTGAACTACGTCCACGCATAAGCGCGGGACAATTTTCGAACCCCCTTCTAGGCCGTTTTCCGATCTGACAGCCCGACATACGGCATATGAGTAGGCCACAGATTTTTCCCGACAGTTATCTCGTAAACCATTTTTTACCGTGAATTGTATCTCTAATATCTGTATGCTAATGCACTTCTACAGAGTGCGCCACAAGTACGGTAACAGCTGTACAAAAGTCCACAACTTCCTTGTTTGAAGGGACTTTTCAGATCTGTTCTCTTTCTTATGTCCATAGTATACCTTAGCCAACATATCTGCCTTGGCGCCCTGAATTCCTTACTGTTAAAAAAATGGTGAAGCATCGCAATCATACAGCATCCTTTCTGTCTTTGCGTGCACTTGGTGAGCCCATTACCATGATACCTGGTCGTTCCGACACTTTTCGCATAACGGTCTGAATCAGGTCAACAACTTATCTTAAGATGGTCGCCTTGTCTAGATTACAACCCGTTTTCCGAGTACAATGCTTGGACATAATTGCGCTACGAAACCAGAATGATTACGCTATGAAAACTGCAGGAACACGAGAGAAGTTTATACGGAATTAAATGCATGCCCTACTTCAATGAGACCAGTTTTGCTTGAGCGAATACCATCGTATCTAGATAGGTTTCTGAAGCGTTATGAACTTTTTGACAAGAAAAAATTTGAGAGAAAAAACAAGTGCCGCGTCCTACTTGTCCTTGACCCGGCTTTGACACTCTTTTTTTCTGAAAAAAAAGAGTATACGTATCCTACTGGTGGTGGGCAAGTTGACAAGGGTTAGATCGTTTCCCTTAGCCATTTTCCTCTTCTCTGACGGTTTGGCTGGAATCCGTGACATCAAAGCAATATGCTTTTTTTGTCCCCCACAAAAGTGTGAAAGCTAATCAAATAATCTGCATGAGGGACTTTCTAATAAGGTGTTGCTCAGGGTCAAAGATTATTCGAGGGATACGATTCGGAAGCACTCACGTACCTGCTCGCGATGGAAATAGATTAAGACTGATGCTTGAGGAGATGTTCGCAGTCTCGTTCCTGCCTCTAATTAGCCTACAAGTTTTCCAACCCGCATCTTATGGGTGTGGAGAGGCAATCTTATGGGTCCGTTTCTATAGTGTGTGCTGGAGAGGGAAGCCTGCGCTCCGAACCACTGTAGCTTTTTCTAAGAAATAGTTTAGATAAGCCCGGGCAGGAGTGTTTCGAAAACCCTGTGTGCGCCGTCGAAGGATTGTCGAAGGATTTTTGATAATTACCACAAGAGACGATAATAACTTTTTCTGTTGATGCAAGGCCTAGCATATAGCTCACACAAAATCACCATGTCAGAGATGAACTGGAGTCTCTGCACAGGAATTATTGCGTCGATGCATAATTATTGCGGATTTTTTCAACAAATTTTATTTAACGAAACGATAAAAATACTGAACAAAAACATGTTCAAATAATTACTCCGGAACTTATCCACCAACTACGTCAAGCACTGCTTCCCATTGGCTAGATAGTCGGATTCCAAAAGTGAAAAAGTTTTGACTCTTGGAGGCGATCCACGCCTTGACATCGGTCACCAAGTCATCCAGATCGTAACTTCTATTCACTAGCATTTTTTTCAGCGAACGGTTAATGAGATAACCATAGAAGTTTCTGCCGGTGAATATGGCAGATTTAGGAGCGGATCCCTTTTCTTGGTTGGCATTGGCAAGGCAGTATGCATTTTTCGAAGATGTCTACGGGTATTTACTTATTCACAGTCGAGGGAATACAGTGTAGGGCCCCATGGTTTGGCTTGAAAAATATCTTCATACGAACACTGATTCGCCACCGTGCTTGACCGTTGGCATTTGGTGCTTTAGGTCAAATTTTGTGTAGACAGGTGGTCTTACGAACAAAATCCCTCTTGTATCGAGCAAAACAGACTTTGACTTGTCTCTCCAGACAAATTCACACCATTGGTCGATTGTCCAGCGGAAGTGCTTAAATTCCCATTCAAGTCGAGCTCGTGTTTTTTGGAAAAATAAACAGCTTTTCACGGGCTTTATTCAATACAATCTTGCACCCCGCAGGTGTTTGTTGATGGCACTTTGAGAGCGTAGCGCCGTCATCGTCCTCGATATTTCGATCATTTTATTGGGAGACGCTCGTCTGGGATCTTGGCGCGATGCACGTATGATCTTCCAATCGTTCGCAGGAGTGGTGATCTGATCTTCACGAGCTGGCTCAACTGATAGGGCCTCCGCGACTTTTTGATAGCCTTCGTATTTGTGGACTTTGACACTACAAACTGCTATGAAAGTTAGGCATGCATTAATCCCTACATACTGCCTATGGCAATAGCGGAATGCTGCTCTTCGGTCAGAAGGCTAGATACGAGTGTTTGCTCCATATTGCTGAAAAAGATCTACCATTGAAACAAAGAAGCCTCGAGCAGTTTTAGACTCAGAAAAACTTCGGAAAGAACCCGTCTGAAACTGGGTCGATTTTGCCTTTTTTTTTTTTTGAGAGTCACTCAAAAAGATTGAGTTCGAGATGAGTTATGATAGAAAAGGTTCAAGGTCATTTCTTTTTGAACTGCACTGTATATCCGGCGTATTCTGTAGAATGGTAAGAGTGCCTGGAGCTCATAGTTCTTCATCAATACTTCCTTCAACACCTTCTTTTTAGGGTTACATCATAGCTGTAATTGCTGTTTGCCTTTTTATCTCGTTTATTACGTTAGTAGCATGTATTCTTCAATCAACACTACACCTTTTTGGCGGCAGCAAGGTGAGAAAGCGACTTTCTTTCAAGAATTGACCTATTCACCTCGGGGCTTACAAGATCAAAGATGTACTATACGGAGTCCGATATCTTTCTAGCTAGGAGCCGGCGGGCATCGACCGACATCAGAAGAACCTTAGATAAATCATGCTTCTGCATGAAGTACGCTCTACATATGTTGCTCGAAGATTTTTCGGGCGACTATCCCATCGAATATGATGGCCGTTTGGAATGCCCGTAAGAGGCGTATTTGGAGTTGCTGCCGCGTGAAATGGAAGCCGATCCCTATCAAACCACTAGCGGAGTGGTGATAGCTCTTGGGGAGAGCCAACCCACGAATGACAACCAATGGGTTAGACGAGAGAATTGATCGCTGGGTACCTCAATCCCCTTGAGACCCAATCGCTGGAGATGTTACGCGGATTTTCGAACCTAATGTTAATAATCAGCGTTCG